CCCAAAATAAAATAAAATAAAGTAATAATAATAATAATAATAATAATAATAATAATAATAATAATAATAATAATAGTAATAATAATAATTCGTGCAGGGGACTTGCCCCCAAAAAAGAATCCTACAGAGGCAGTGGACGTGAAAAGAAATTCCTGCAATCTGAAAAAGTCCCACCCCTCATCACATTTCTAATGGTCCGTTCTTAAATGTCCTTAAATGCGTGATATCTTTGTTTTTGTTTTTGTTTTTTGTTTCTTTTCTGTGATCTATTTATTTTCAGAATTTTGTTCATGTTTGGATTAAGAGTAAACTATTCCAGATGCAGCATACATTTACATATCCCGTTGTTTCCTCGAAATGAAAAGACATTTGGAACCTTTGCACAAATAAACGAAGAGCTGAATTCGATGGTATATTTTGCAAAAAATTCAAACTTCTGATCGACAGATTTTCTTCATTTTTTCACTTAACGTAGAAAATCGGTAGAGAAAATGGTCTATCAAAAGAAAAATAGGGGTCACTGGATGTTCGAGGTCGTTAAATCCTGGCAAAGCTGTAGCAATGGCCATCTGCCCTATCATTGTTTATCATTGCGCGCTCATGCATGACGTGGAGTGTGAATTTGCGTGCGCAGTAAGGATGCGCAGAAACAATTAGCGCGAAAAATATCAGCTCAACTAGTTAACCATCTACAGATTTCGACGGCGATAGTTTTGTTTCATGTATCAGTCTATTTATTACCTGGCACCAAACAAACACGGCACTGCGCCAGTATTGGGAAACACAGTAGTTATCCTAATTTAATTCAAGGTTATTTTAATAAACTCGCTGCATTTTAATATGAATTAAACTAAACTAAACTTAATTTACTCAGTGCTGTAATCTGGCAAAAAAAAAGCGTAAAGAAAATTTAGCATTCCTTGACGACATTATATTTCAGTACGTGAAAATTAAATTTGCGTCGCCGTTTCGATTGGCGCCGTGTCCGTGAAGGAACAAATGTTATATTTGTTTATTTTCCGCTCAGAGCATTTTTTTCTCCGGGTCTCAAAATCGGCAATATTTCCAAATTCAAGTTCGGTCCAGAAAAATGCCAACGTTTCGATATTACACGAATGACATTCGTAACTCTTGTAAAAAGGATTAACACGAACAAATGTACACAACATGTTGCATGATCCCGAGTTGCCGTCAAAAATTTTACACGCAACGCTATCAATCGTTTCTTTAATTAACTTATCCTTGCTGCGAGAATGTTTTCTTATCAGGACTAGAGAAGTTCGCTGCAGGTACTTCGCTTTTAAAATCACATTAAATATAATCTTCTAGTGTAAAAGAAATGATCGTAGAAATTATAACCAGTTGTATTGCCTATTTTTAAACATAAAAATTCATTACTAAAGTTTAGTAACAGGTATCCTTTTATATGCAGCCGCAACGGTTCACTCCGGTGTCTCGCATCGTTCGCGCGAAGCAAGCACCTCCAACCGGAAAAACCGAGCTACCTTTCGTACGATTTGTAGCTTGTAAACTAATACAGGTAGTTCACGAGTACAAACATTGCATGTTAAGTCGCTTTACGCGTACAAGCGAGGAGACTACAAACGCAGTAAAGCTAACCAGCATTTTTGTGATCGTTGGAAGAAAATGAAAGTCTCCCTTACCTCGTGTAGTCAAATTCCATGGCTTGAACTCTTTCATGTTGCCTCTTGAAACGTAAAGACGAGGCTCAGTGGTCGTTCCATAAGTCCAGATATTCACTTTATGTTATTCAGTAGCGTTAGGTAAACAAAATATTCCTCCGGTATACGGTGATACACGGCCAAAAACCAGCAGTTATTTCCACGATTCCAATCGATTCCGAATGAATTGCGTCACAATCCAAAATCTTACAGTGTGGGCGAAATTCCTTTAAACAATAAAACTGAGTTGTTGACAGTTCTTGTTACTCAATTCTCTGCGGAGAAGTGCACTTGTTACCAAAGGCTTTGTTCACGAGAAATCACATTTCAAGATATTATTTCAACAGATAATCAACAGGAAGATGTTCATAAAAGTGCACGCTAGTGAATGCAAATGCAGCTATCATACCCAGTGTTGATTTTTTTTTGCCGCAATGCAATTCCACCAGACAATGACATTTAGACCCGTTATCTACCCTCCCGTTTGCACAAGGATGAGACCCTCTATGTTCGCGTCTAGACACCAAAATTTCCCTAATTACAACTTGTGGGCTGCAGGACTATAAAGTAATGATCAGTCTGAATGGAAGGAATTCCAGTCACTTGGTTCTACCAATGAATGAAGTACCTCTGTTCAAAAGAAAGGTGATTAAAAAGTGTGAATTTGGACGTGCAAGGTTTTTGGGCACAAAAATGGCATGCTCATTAATAATTTAATATTTTGTGGTTAAAACCTGTCTGAATTTCAGGTGTTTGCCTATTATACAGTGCCATTTGCGGTTGAAACCTGCTTATAAACACGTATCTCTCTACAAATATAATCATCCCGCCACAGAATACCCTCTTCAAAAAGAATACACGCCAGTCGTTTCGGGAATCTGAGGGAACCAATGCTAAGCAACTTTCCCACGTTTCAATTAAACGAAACAAATTCATCTCAGTAAATATTTTTCTTCTGGACAAACACCGCATAACGCAATAACTAGCCAACGAAAATATTAATAAAATAGTCGAGAACAGCGCTATAGAGTTTTTAAATTTACCAAAAAGGATCTGGGAATTATTTCTTTCCTAACGTCTTGATAAAACCGCTACTCTTTTCAACAACTTGCTCCGCAAACATTTTGAGTAAGCTAATGTCATTTCTTATAAACCTGCATGGCAATATTCACCAGTTTTAATATCGCATTTAGCCTTTCAGTGGATTAGTGTGACATATTGGTCATGTAAACATTTGACATTTCTTATAAAGCACAACTTTGGAGTGAAATTAGAGATCAGGTTTGCCAATCCGGCGATTGTAAGTGAAAGATTGATTAAGAAGAGAAGGAAAACAAACCACACGCGAAGAGAGGAAAACTGCGAAAAATTATATTATAAATATAGTGCAGTCGGTATTTCCGACTTCCCCTAAATACGAAAACGTAATCAAGAAATAGCAACCATAATTAATGGTGATAGGTAATTATCGCCTGGCGAAAAGCTTTGCACTTTTTATTTGCTGCAGGACTCCAATCAATTTGCAATTACACAATGAATGAAAGGAATAAATGGTGCCCCGCTGGACTGGCGCGAAGAAATCAATAATTTCATCAGATTCATTGGAAAATTGAATAGTTAACGACAGCAAACAAGCAAAGTAAACAGACTGAAAAGAAATGGACTTCAGAAGACAATCGAGCACGACAGGCAACGACACTTATTAAAAAAGAAATTTGCAAGACACTTGCATAGGATTAGTTTGATGTTTATTTCCATTGTAACTCCTAAAATAAGGGCACTTAAACCATTTCTTTCACATCCGATTGTCCATTTTACAGACGGTCTAATAAAGATTACAAGATTACAGTCCATAGAGGAACACATCCAGCACAATCGTTGTAATCCTTCTCTTTTCTTTCTCTTTTTTTTTTTCTTGGAGAGACTCCACCTGATTCATTTTACTGACCTCGAGGAACAGTTTTTTCAAGTATTTGTGATTGGGTAATACCATCATTGGAAGCTCTCCGGAGATTTTCACGAAGGCACGAACTGTCTGAAACACAGTGAAGCGTTTGTGCCACCGAAGCCGAACGAGTTCGTCAGTGCTGTTCTCGGCTCAGGAGAGTGAAATTGCTGGGACGTGAGAGGAACGTAGTTCATGTTAAACTCCTCTTCTGAGTCCACGTTGTGAAGGTTTAATGTAGGAGATGCCACGCCCTTTGAGAAAACGGAACATTTCCTTTCTATTCTGCGTTCACTACACAACCGAACACACTCAAAGGTTATGGGGCATGGGCGCGTTGGTTAGCCATGCACCAAGATATGTTCTAACTGATACACTAAGGTTACAGAAAGTGGATAAAAGATACATCAAATTACATCCTACATGCGTCAAAGCCTGACACATAAACCCCGAAAACCTCTAATTAGAAAAAATAGGGACAGAGTACCCCAGTGTACCCTCGACCATGTATACAAACAACAGAATTCATGAAAGATAAACACAAGATAACACTGTTTATACCACACTATGATAAAAACTAAACCTTATCCAAAGTTGCGAGTGGCAAGGCTGACCGTAAAATGTCACAAGTTTCTCAGCCGTATCTTTTCACAAACGTACTAACCACGACTCTTCGCGTACTACGTTCGTACCCAGTTCTCTGTTCCGTGTAAGCAAAATATTAACTTACAGTGGAATCCCGATTTTTCGAACCTCCAAGGTAAACGAAAATTGGTTCAAAAAATCAGATAGTTCGAGAAATCGGGGATAAAACTACAGTGTTCGACTGAGACAGAGGAGAGGGACACGACTTTTGGTTCGAGTTATTGGGATTCCACTGTATGTCCATATCGATTAGCACAAATTACATATCAAGGGCGCCGATGCACTAGGGAATATTTCTCGAAACTTGTCCCGAAATTTTGCTGAGACCCAAGGTTGCACGAAATATTGTCCAGTGTAGCATCTCTTTCATTACGACAAAAACTCACCTTGTAGACACTAAGCACCGTAAAAATAGCTTCAACAGCGCCCGCCGCTCCTAAAAGATGACCAGTAGCTCCTAAGGAAGAATAATTTAACACGGCTTATGAGCGAAAGTTGTCCGATCTACAATGGCCGGCCCATTTCACTCAGTTTTGAAAATAACACTGGTTTGAAGAGATGACCGCCAATAAAGAAATGTCGAACGTGTTTCGTCATTGCTCAAAGCCCGATGTTTGTTAATTTGCTGCCCGGCAGAGCTGCGAAGTTCGAACCAATAACCCCAAAAAGTCAGTTAATTTATGGCACCTACACTAATGTACGGTTGTAAAATCAATAGTAATAAGTCAAGAGGAAAATGCGCGAAATATTACAGTTGTTTACTTCTAAAACGACTAACGCATCTCACCTTTTGTGGAGGAAACTTGAACATTTTTGGAGTGACTTTCAAGTAATGTTTTGATGGCATTGTTCTCGCCAGCATCTCCTAGAAACGAAATTAGGTTTTCTATCAATAATATCTTTCAAACCCCTCATCTTTTACAGAATTACCACTATAGATTTCCAGAGAAAGTATTGAAAGAAAGAGTAAAGAAAAACTGAAAAATTGAAAAGCGTTATAGTAGTGCCCAAACTTTCGCATGGCGGTTGATTCCTTTCGAAACCTTCAAAGAGGAAATTAAATTCATTAAATTCACAGAGAAGTTGGGATCAGAAAAGATACTTTCTGCGAAGAATATACGAAGTAACCAACGATCTTCGCAAGAGTACATCAAGAGTTTTCTATTTTTTCAATACATATAGTCTAAAACACGAGCTCTCCGAAAGCTATGACGTCAGCTTTGACGTCATCTGAACGCGACAAGTAATTAAGCAACACCACTGACGAAGATTGCGGGCTCAGGAAATGCTATTAGTCGCGCAACCTCCGCGCAACCGAGAAATGAAAGTTTTTCTTACCCAGTGGAGTAGATGTCGCATGTGCGTTGATGTAATGGATATCCTTTGGTTTAAGCCCTGCATCTCGGAGAGCATTCTTCATCGCTAAATATGCTCCGTACCCTCCCTCTGATGGGGCTGTTATGTGATAAGCATCTCCTAAAAATAATAAGTCGAGCAAAACAATTAATCGCTTTTGACAATTGTTAAGAATAAAAAAGCGAGCACTCGCAATTATTTCTTCTCATTCATAAACGTGCACGTGGTGTTGTGAGAATCTTCCTGCTTTTCATTCAAACGACGTAGGAAATGGCGGGAAATCAAGCGACTGATGCCAAGCGCGGGAAAACATGCAAGCGGTGAAAAGCGCGGGAAAACGAAAACGGCGCCAAGGGGGGAATACAAAGCGCGGGAAACGCGAGTGAGTGAAGCCGTGATTCGTTTGGTTTTTGTTGCCTGATTGGTTAAAAAATAAGTGATTGCTTTGGTCAGAGGATGTCACACGAGTTTTGTTACCAGTTTCTAGAGATGAGCAAACTAAGTATACAAATGTAATTGAAAGTCAATTAAAGTGCGGTTGTTGTGAAAAACCACCGCTGAAAAAGAGTGCATCTACATGTAATACCTGACAGGCCGTAACCGAGAAGTTCGGCGTAAATCCTAGCATCACGACTGGCTGCGTGTTCATATTCCTGAAAACAATTTGAAAATATTGTGGCAGTAGTTCTTCTCTATATCCAAAGTGGAAACGGAAAGGAATTCTACCTCTAACATTGCGACATGTACCTCTAAAATCATGATTCCTGCTCCTTCGCCCATTACAAACCCAGATCTCCGACGGTCAAACGGCCGCGATGCCTCCTGCGGAAGGTCATTGAACTTGGTGGTGAGCGCGCGCATTCTGAAAAGCAGACGAAAATTTGCCCAGTGACCTGCCTGCAGAGAGCGCGGTCTTGCAAGGTTCATAGTAGAACATATAGCAAAGCACTACGTAACTAACGCTTCTTAATCCTCATTTGAACAGCTAGTTATGTTAACTCTCCTACATGTTCTCTCCGGGAGTTACTCCCAGAAAAGTTGGGTGGGGGTGTGCGGCCCACTTCCCAAAATCTGTGATTTTTGCTACCCTATTTATGACCTGGCCAAAAACTCGATACCCTAAAAAATGAAAGAGAAAAATGTTAAGGCTTTTTTTAATTGCCTCTTGCGAAGATACCTATCAGTAGCGACTACCTATTAGTTAAGATATTGAAGATACAATGCCAGGAAACTGCTAAACCTAGACTTTCTCAAAGTCCTTTACTCGCGCGCGGTTGTGAGTAGTCCTGGTGCGAAGGACTTTGAAAAATGTAAGTTTGCGCTCCTCATACTCGCGCTTTTCGCGCTCGGCTTTTGAGCGCCGCCGACGTTCTTATCGCATCGAGCTCGGCTTTCGTAGCGCGACTCGTGAGCAAGTCTGTGTTAACCTCAAAAGGACCAAAGAGGCCTGGTTGAAGTTTTACGACCCTTACTTGCAGAAGCCTGCCATGGACAGTGGCATGATGCAGGATTCCACTCCACCTGCAACCATCACATCAGCGTCTCCATAACGGATCATTCTAAAAGCATCGCCAATAGCATGGGCACTGGCCGCACAAGCAGTGGATACAGCGTGGTTTGGACCCTGAGGGGAAAAGACACGGATTCGTGTAACTAAAATTCTTCTAGTACTTCTCCATATATCAAAGGGAGGGATGCATAAACAACCTGAATTACTACTTATGTCCGGGATTGCATTGAAAACAGCCATTGTTGAATGACAACTTCGTATTTGACTAGGCAACGTTGCATTTGATATTTTTAACAAGTATATTCCATGTTGCCGTGTCTATTCAGTAACAGATCACAGATGACGTCAAATGTGGTAAGAACAAAAAAGTGGCACACGAGGCAATAGCCGAGTGTGTCACTGATGTTCTTAACACATTTTGACGTCTTTTGTGATCTATTTCTGAACAGATGCACAGCATCATGGAATCTACCTGTTTTCTATAAATAAAGAAACAAAAAGTATTGCTAATGACATCATTTTTGTGTCTGTCCTCCAAAAGATCATAAGGAAGAACAAATCAAATTGGGAGAATAATTCGACTTAGTACCACCCAACTAGTGGACTAATGCAAATCCTGCATTTTAATTGGCTACACTACTAGAAGACTATCAGTAATAGTCCTCAAGTAGCAAAATTAGACCCTTTGCCTTCAAGGGCCACGGGTCAATAGCCCGTTTGGCTTCACCTCATGGGCTATTGACCCGTAGCCCTTGCAAGCTACAGGTCTAATTGTTAAATATAATATAATACTTCATATTTGATAGAATTATGTGTGTTGTGGTGAACTTTTACCAGTAAGGACACTTTGTAATGCATTATATAAAGACAGTGCAATTCTTCAGCAGACAATGCTGGAGATATATAAAGAAATCTGGTTGCTTGCATGCCAGAGGTGGGGTACTCAAAAAAGAGAAATTGTCAAGTGAACTTGTGACTCCCCACACTTTTCCAGACCAAAGAAATTACCCCACACTGCACCAGTCATCATACACAAGTCAGCCAAACATTACCAAATTTTGGAAAATAGGGATACAAGGTCAGTTGCTGGAGGAAATTGAAATACTCTGACTCTCAATTTGCTCAGAGGATTACAGTAATACACAGTTTCTTAGAAAACTCTTCATTAAAATTTCTTGTTCACAGACTTATTACTTGTGTACTTTGAATCTGATGATTTTGCTGGGAATGAAAAAAATACTATAAGGTGAACGTGACAGTGTTAGCACATGTAGCATGCTAGAACATACTAACTTGAAGGCCAAAGGCCATGCTGACAACTCCTGCCGGCAAATTCAGGAGAACTCTCGGCACATAAAATGGACTCACTTTGCGATATCCCTGAAAACATTGAGAAAGGTGTTGTAAAAAAGGTGTGGTAAATAATAATTACAAGTCACAAAGTAATAGTATGTCTATAAAAAATAATTGTAATATGTCAAAAGGTAAGATATGCCCTAAACTGACCTGTTTGTAAAGTGCCTCTCCAGATTCCAGCGTGTCCATTAAGCCAGTCATTCCAATTCCAACAGACACACCCTAATACACAAGGATAGCAAATTTTGTACAGTGCCATGGGGAGGCACAAAGCCAAACAAAAGCTTTTCCCATTTTCACAGAGCTACCAGCTGAACTGTATTGAAAGCTCTTTTAAGGACCCCCCAGCCTCCTTCCCCTCACTTGACAAGCTCAAAAACACATTCTTACATGTAAAGCTCCCATGGTCTAACAAAACCCAACTGCTACCTGCCTTATCAAATCCTTGAAATCTGTTTCATCAGAAATTAATCACTTACAGGAACCTTTCTTAAAACTATCCCAATATGAATAAAAGGGGGGTAACTTCCAGACCTTTTTCTTATTTTTCACAAGAAATTTATTATTTTTATTATTATTTACAGATGGGTGTGTTGCTTGTAGGCAATCAAAACATATTTGTAAAACCATTATAAATAATAAATCTAAGTAAGTGTACTTACTGACCTTCTGTTCTTGGGCAACACTAAGAAATTTATTAGCCATTTTCCATGACAGAAGTTAACTGCCTTTCCTTAGCTTTGTACAGTAGATGCCAATATCGAGTAAATAGGTCAGTTATTGCAGTTGAGTCTGCAGTCAATTCTTTTGCTTAAAGTGCCTATGAAGTAAAAAATAATTGCTGCTTATTTGAAAAGCTTTTCAAAGTAAAGAAGAATGGCGTTTCCCTTTTTGGAATATCTGT